GAGTAATCGACGGGCAGGTGAGATGCATCACTCCAGAAATCAAGCCACAGAGCCTGCAGGTCATCTGGAACGTACAGTTTATCACTGTGTTTGTACCGGCATGGGTGATCCCTCCAGTATACCACAGCCTGCGCAGGGAAAGCCGTAAAACTTTGCACCGCTAAGTTGTGCCTTGAAAACCAAAACAAAACCTATCGCGATCAAAGTTACCCAAAGGCTTTTCCACAAATAAACAAACGTGAGTCAAACTTTCCGTGCTCTCTCGCTCAAATCACTCCAGACAACAAGCAACGCTTCAACACACACTCTGTTTCTCTCGCTCGGGCTTGAGCCAACGAGTATCGTTGACCATTCAGTTCAAATACTGTTTAAAGGTGACAAAAACCAAGGAGGGGTTTTTGTCTAAACTGCAAACTGTATTCCAGTCTTGACGAAATTCCGAAAAGCGATCCACTGAGGATCAAAAGCTTTCATTCGGTTCTAAAACTGTTGAAATATTTCCAAACTGTTCAAATAATGTTCGGTTTCCTACAAAAACATCACAACTCTCAACTACAAAACGAGACGAGTGCAACCGCAGTGTCGGTTGTGCTCGTTGAGTGTCATAAAATGATCTATGCTTCATAGAGCATCCAAAAACATTCAAAAGTATATCTTCCACAGATGATATTCGGTCAAATCAAAACTACAAACTACGATCTGTCCATTCACAATCGTTCCAAGTCAAAATAGGCTCGTCCACAGACGATACTTGGTGAAATCAAAACTGTGCAACGTCACTGATCTCTCAGCGCTATACCAGGTAGGATTTTCACACCCCCTTTCGATGAGAGGTCAGTATGGAGTCTTCGTCCAATACGTAGTGCAGTCAATGCAATGCAATGCAATCCAGAAAGTCATGGCGTCCCATTCCAATCCAGAAAAATCTAGTCCTCTGACATACCTGCAATAGAAGAAGTTGACGAAGCAGTTCTTCGCTGGCGAGGTACTGAATCTCCGAATAAAACCTGTGTAGAATGTTCCAGTGTACAACATGCAGTGCACCTTGCATATTCAGTCACTGGCAGACTCTTGAAAGTACGACAAAATCGGGTCAAATGAAACTTCTGTCCTTGTTCAGAAACAAAAATACATTGCCCAATCTCAAAAGTCGAAGATGAAATACGGCAGATTTCACAAATTGTAAGCCCTCTCTTCACATTGTCCCAATCTGGATAACAACGACAACGGC